AGAAAGGATTATTCGTATATTTCAACGAATTAAGCAAAACACAGAAGCCCTCATCTCTTTGGTGCTATTACTCGATGCAGTGGCGGATTTACAAATTTTCAAGGTATAGGCTGAATAGTTTTTGCCGCCCTTGCCTCAACAATTGTCATATCATACATTATTTTTACAATGCAACAATTTCGTTGAAATTGCACGTAAAATAATTTTTCGGTATATTTTTGAGCTAATCGAAGCTCAATCAATGTATACTAGGTTGCCTAATTTTGTGATTTTTAACATGCGCGAATAAATATCAAACAGACCTTGTTGTGTGGATTGTGGGGTAACCCACACGGTTATTGGAATAGAGAAAGAAGCTCGCCACGTGCACGTGCAACATTGACGTCATTGATAACATTGTAGCATTAAAAAAATACCGCGTTCGGGGAAAAATATTTTTTTTGACTTAAGACTATCTCGCTATTACTGTTCAAGATTTTTTTTGAATTCCAATCGAATTTTCTGAAGCTACTAGTGCATGTGAAACACATAATAGTCAATACATAAAATTGAAATCGGTAAAATTATTCACTAAATTATTCATTATATTCGAATAAAAATCGAAAAATTATATACAAACCATCCAGTTCGTAGCCTCCAACCAGTAGTAAGACTGGCATGTATGGGTTGTTAGTGGGAAGAGGGACATATTTTTTACAATTTCGCTCTTTTCACTCATAAGAAGTGTGGGCAAAGGGCGCAGAGGCGAGAGGCCGATTACTGGTTGAGGGGCGGCGAACTAGCTGTTTTACTCTAGAATATGGAAGTTTGCTACTCTCGGAATGTGCAATAACAAGTGAGAGAGAAAAGTCATCGACAAAATTTGTTGCAGACTTCTATCTGTAAGACATCAGAAAACCGTCATAGAAAAATCTTTTTGATTTCTATGAGGTAAAAAAAAAATCATTCCCCAAATTTGCCGCCCCCAAAATCTGCCGCCCTAGGCTCGAGCCTACTCAGCCTCGATGTTAAAAACAGAAATTTCAATTAAGCAGAATGTCGACATCAAGAAATATGTAAATTTAATTGCATTCCTGAAACGAAAATCGGATGGGTATAAACCTAAAAAGTCCAAGGTATTAACAAAGAAAGAAATAACTAAATTTTTGTTAGATGCTGGAGAAGAGAAATTTCTATGCATGAAGGTAAATCAGAAATATTATTTTGGGCAAAAAATGCAATAATTATTTTAGGTTATTTTAATAATTGGCTTAGCGGGCGCGTGTCGGCGGGAAGAAATTACAAATTTGCTTGTAAAAAATGTGAAAGACGAAGGAGTATGCTTTCAAATCATAATCCCAAATACCAAAACAAAAGTCTCTGGAGAATTTTTTGTAACATCTGGAAATATTGAGGGTGTGAATCTAGTAGAAGTGGTCAGAAAATACATTAATTTAAGACCTAAAGACTGCGACCATGCACGATTTTTTGTGGGATATAGAGCAGGAAAATGTATTAGGCAACCTATTGGAATAAATACTATAGGTGGTGTTCCAAACCTTATTGCCCAGTTTCTTCAGTTGCCCAATGCAAAAGAGTATACCGGGCATTGTTTTCGGCGATCTTCTACCTCTTTTTTGGCTGATTCTGGGGCAGATCTTTTGACAGTAAAAAGACATGGTGACTGAAAATCTAATTCGGTTGCTGAAGGCTACATCGAAACTTCTAGTGAAAACAAGAAACGAACGGCTGTGAAAATTCTAGGGGCTAGCGAGGATGTTTTCCCGAAAGCGGAGAATATCGCCTCAACATCTAAAGATACTCCATCAACATCCGCAAACTACGTTCATACTCAAAATATTTCCAGCAAATTGTTAGGCATGTCAGCATCTGGAATTAATTTATCTAATTGAAAGATTTTACTGTTAATGTTTACAAGAAATGAGTTTTCATATAATCTTAACTTGAGCTTAATTTAAGATATTAACACTCTAGTGCGGTAATAAATTTAAAAAGCACTAGTGCGATAATAAAAGTTATTATGACATTTCAAGGAGTGTCAAACCACAGTCATTACATGACAGTTGTAGATAATAGTATATTATGTATCAAGTTTTATAAACGCCATTTAATTAAGCATGAGCGAAGCTTGCGAGCGAGTGTTTAATAAAAACGAGTGTCTAGAGAAGTTTATAAACGAGTTTAAACTCACTTTTTCCCAATTTATAATAAAGCTAACTTCAGCCCGTGGCGTAAAATGTCGAAAAGCCACTGTTGTTAACTTCAGCCCGTCAATAAAACGCCATAAAGTCACAGCTCGTCAATGTAGGAGTAGATAAAATAATATATTCCAACATATATATTTTTTTGGGAGTCTGACCCCCTTGAATTTTTTTTTAATTTTAAGTTATTTTGTACATGAAAATAATAAGTCACTGAAGATTTGAGCTCTTAATATGAAGTAGGTACTTTTCTAGTTTACAATGATTTTTCGAATTTTGACGATATATTTTTTACCTTTTTTGTTAATTTTTTTGGATGTAAATAATGTTTCATAAAAATACAAACAGTACTTTGTTTGTAAAAAATTCTTAGCTTTTCAATAAAAATGTTAATTCTCTATTTAATTAAAGTGAAAATGTGATTTTTCCTGCCTTGCGAAAATTTTTATTTCGAATTTAATATATTTTTTTAATGCTGACAAGTTTTTACACAAAAGAAGTAATTTTTACGATGATGTTATTTTTTTTTAAATACAATTAAATAACAAAGGAATTGTGTCATTTTTTCATATACTTAGGTAATTGTAGTTATGTTTCGTCTTATTTTTTGAAAATATTCTGCGTTTTGTGACATAAACTAAGCAATTTGAACAAAAATACGTATTTTTTAATATTTTTAGAAAATAAAATAAAATTGACGTACCATTGACAGATGCATAAACTCAATTAATTTAAAAAAAATGACTTCCAATTACTTTTGTATTTAATTGTATTTAAACAAAAAATTACACCATCACGATGCATCGTGAAAATTACATATTAGATGTAAAATATGCTCAGCTTTTAGAAAAAATATCAAATTTAAAATAAAAATTGCAGCATGGCCAACAAAATGGCATTTTGTACTATAATAAAGAATGAATATTTTTATTGAAAAGCTAAGAATGTATTACAAATTTAGGTCCATCAAAAAAAAATTTACAAAAAAGTTAAAAAAATATTCGAAAAATCATTATTTTGATGTAGAGAATAATTCCACAAAATTTAAAAAAAATCCCCAAAAAAATATATGTACCCATACTAACCTTGGGTCCAAAAAATGATTTTCGAGATTATGAATGTTTTTAGTGGATTGGAACAAGATCTTTTAAAAAGTCCAATATTAATTTGATAATCTCAAAACAACGCTACGAATTTCCAAAGTCAAGCGTTACTAGACAAACGCCCATGCTACGCAATTGCAGTTTAAACTTTAATACAATTTAAAGAAGCTAATCAAAATAAATGTTTTTATTTTTATAAAAAATAATATGTACTGTCTGTCCACTCTAAGTTGGCGGAACTAAGGAATTTTTTAGTTTAGATATTAAAGAATTGTCGTACTGTGTGCTTTTAAAACAGATTTTATATTATAAATAATACTAGTACATATTATATACTAGTATTATTTATAATATAAAATCTGTTTTAAAAGCACACAATACGACAATTCATTAATATCTAAACAACAAAATTCCTTAGTTCAGCCAACTTAGAGTGGACAGACAGTACAACAATTATTTTGCTTCAATCCCTAAACTATATTTTTATACTATGTATGACTATAGTCACGGCCAAATCTATATGGGTGCACGTCATCAATGAGATATAATGACGTCAGCATTACCAACTTTGAATTGTAAAGTTACTGCCGTTAAATTTGCTTTTTTAAGGCGTAATTCTGATGTGTTATTAAAAAGAAATCATTCATTTGCGTATTGTTTACCAAGAACTGTAACAATTTCCTTGTTTTAAAACGTTTTTTCACGAAATTATCAAAATAAAACCATTCACTTAGTAATTTTTGTGTGTGCCAGTTGGTAATAGCTTAAGGCTGGCGCGCACCGTTCAATATTATTGATGGGTCGCTGTCATTTTATATTTGACGTATTTTTGTAATTGTGACATTTCGTCCGGAAGCATCGTTTGTTGCAAATTATTATAAATAATATTATACATTATGTTTATAAGATTCTATCCCTGGATTGTGCAAACAATGATATAAGGCTTGTTGGCAACTAGCCGTTATTAGATTTCGAAGACATTGCGCCCTTAATTATTAAGGCTTAATAATAAAATTGGGGAAATAATCAGACTTCAATTCTGACCTGGTTTGCTCTGATGACAAGGACGACTGGTAATTTATATATTTTGTGTTTCTGATAATTTAGAATTTTTTGTTATGTGCATATGTAATAAAAATGTAATAAACTCCGTTTGTTTTCTCTTTAAACACATTTAATAAAAATTTGCCTGTAACAAACTCCTAATTAGTTAGTGCAGAAGATTATAACAAGGACGTTATAATTCCATCTTAATAACAGACCCCACCGCTATAAACAGTCAACAATACACGAGCGTTAGATTGTGTCTGGGCACGTATGAATAGACCTTAACGCTGACGTCATATGCCGTTGATGACGTGCACCCATACAGATTTGGCCGTGACTATAAACTATATTTAACAGTATCTAAAATAATTTATTATTTTTATTTTGTTACCTACTTAAATAGACATATGTCAAGGCCATATGTTAAAATAAATTAAACAAAGCTTTTAGTTTTAAAACTAAATTAACAAATAAATAAATGACCTTTATTAATTGTCTATTTTAATAACTAAAAATATTTTATAAGTATACTTATATTATATTATTATTCTAAATCTAAGTGACTAATACAAAGAAACATTTAAAACTACTAATTTGAATGTACCTAATATTATATCATTTGTGATAAAAATCGTGGGACTTTAAAATATTACTTTGTATAAATTAAGAAGAAAAATGGCACTATAATACTTATGGCTCCTATTATTAATACAACCCATTTCATTATACCGAGATAATGTAAAACTTTTAATAACGAATCCTTTATTTGGTTGGTATATTTGTCACCAAGCGTCATACTCTAAAAATATATTTCCATTAAGTACAAGAATAGAAAAAAACATATTTTTACCTCTTCCAGCCATATAATTGGTATGATGGAATGAGTAACATTATCTATTGATGTTATTCCTTCAATGGGCCTTAAAAACATGTTGAATTGTACACGTTTTGCTGTTTTAATAGGGGTTCCACTGTTCTAAAAATGAATAAAAAATACTAGTAATATTTTAACATTTATCAATTTTAATAGAAAAACATAGTAATATATTAATATTCAAGGCCATTACTCTTATTAATTTATTTATAATCAAAATAAAATAATAGGATTTTGTATACAAGAAATTAATAATTAAATGTCAATTATTCAAATTTATTTGTTAGTTAGTCAATGATTGATCATATTAATTATAATTTAAATATCATATACCAAATAAATATGTTTATTATTACTTACAGGTTCCAAAATTACGAAGGTTTCGTGCTTATTTTCATCCGGATTAAGTCCGTGAACGGTATCAAGGTATTTTTTGTCTGCATGAAGAAAATGTGGAAATGAAAGCAGAACAGGTCCTCCTTAAAAATTGGCGCAATGAATATTTCCTAATATCTACTTAAAATTAACAGTCTTTTTTTGGCAGTTGGTTGGTATGTTTTAATTTTTTTATTCGAAACTACTGGTTATAATTAACAATTAAGTTTTTACTGTGCATCTACTTAAAAAAACGTTATTATTTTCATTTTAGGTAACAAAAAAACCGTTATCACAAAAATGGCGTCTAACTGTTTATTTAACTACTAGTTTTCCTTATAAGTCTAAATCCATTGCCCATTCTTTCAAATGAATAGTGTTTACTTTCGGTGTTAAAAACTATAGACCCGGAGGGTAACTTTTTGGAAATTCTTGGTTGTGAATTTGTAACCACTGAGGTAAGTAGGGAACTCGACGGTACAATATTCTGTGTAGGAAGAATTTTTGACGACTTTTTAGAAAATAATGTATCAAAATTGTAAGGGCTTTTTGTGGTTTTATATTGCAAAGGGTTTCTTGAAGTTGTGAAATATCTTTTGTTTGAAAAGGAAAATGGATTATTTCGGGTAATTTTAAATGGTCTTTCAGTTGTTTTTGACGAAGTAAGAATGTTATCCAAGGAAGAAAAATCGTATGGGTTCTTTTTTAATACATTTACATGTGTGTAGAATTTATTATTTGTTGTCACAGGTGATTTTGTTCCAAAAATATTATCATTATTTATTTGTAGTATATTATTTTTTTGTGTGGTTTTTTCAAAATTTGTAAATAACGATGAAAAATTGTATGGATTTTTTGGATTTATTGTTGGCCTTCTAGTAGTAGCAATATTTTGAATTTTTGATTCAAATACACTATTTGTTGTCAGAATATTAAATGGTCTTTTGGTGGTGAGGGCTAAATATTTTTTTGTGGTTATTTTGGTTGGTGCTTCGGTTATTTTTACAGTACTTGTTGAATAAAAAGATTTGTCTGTATTTTGTTTATAAAATTCTTGAAATCGTGAATGTATGACAAATGGTCTTTTTGTTGTATATTCTAAATTAATGGAATTTTGCGTTGAGGATTTAAATACAATATTTTGATATAACTTGGTTGATGGAATATCAAATGATCTTTTAGTGGTTAAGTCCAACATGTTTGATATTAATTTTTTAGTCGATATTCTTGTGGGGTTTTCAGTAGTTCTTATAGAATTTGTTGGATAAAAAGGTTTTTCGGTATTATTTTCATCGAATTTTTGAAACTTGGATTGAAAAATATATGGTCTTTTTGTTGTATATTCTAATTCGTTAGGATTGTATCTTGACGTTGATTTTATAGTTGTTTTTGTTGGTAAAATAGTTGTAGTATAAATGTGTCTAGTGTTTTCATATTCAGGTTTCTGGAATTTCCTAATTATTATTGGCTTAAATGTTGTCGACGTTGTAGTTTTAGGTTTTAAGGTCGTCAAAAGTAAAGGATGAAATTCGTATTCACTACTATCTTCCCCATTATTCAATTCAGAGGCATGTTTAGGGAATGGTGGTAAAGCTGGATAATCGTAATCATCCTTAAAGTAGCTATTGACGTTATCGTAACGAATTGTTGTTCTTAAGGTAGTAGTTGTAGGTTTTTTGGTGTAGAACGATTCTTCTCGGTATTTGTTACTAAATGCTGGTAAAGTTTGCTCTTTTTGAAATTTTGGCAACGCTGGAAATTGGTATTCATCATTCAAGTTTTTATTTTGGTATTTTGGCAAAGGCGGGAAGTCGTAACCATCATCGTAATCATCAATTTCAGGGTTTACTGAGGGTATAGGGGGTAGCTCGTACACACTATCACACCCTTGTATGTATGAATGAACATTTCCTTTACAATATAACGGGTAAACAACCCAGGCGTTAAATCCGTCCCCGGACAATTTAGTGTGTTCCTCATGGATTATCTTGATGCACTGCACATCATCGGCGATGTCGTCATTGGCGAAAGCACTGCACGGTTTGTTGCACCCGCGACCGTTTCCTGGAGGCGAACACCAAAACAATTCCGAGATCTGGAAGAGACCGTGATCGCCGCTTCCCGGATTGTGTGCGGACGTGTTAAACAGCGACTCGTGCTGTGCAATGCACACCCACGTGGCCACTTGATGCTCTGGGATGCCGTGTCGTAAACGGAGGTCGCGTGCCAGTTCGCATCGTTCGTAGATTTTGCCGTAGACCAACGCGACGGCCAACAGGTGTATAGTCAAGTCGAGAAGCATCTTCACTAGTCTTCGAGCGAAGGTGAACGCGTGTTTTATATCCCTCAAGTCTGGTTAGTTTGATACTGGCTTGACGAAGAAGCTGTTCTTCATGAAATGCTAATTTTCTTGTTTTACTCGGCGATATTTTTTGATTTTGTTAAAATAATGGTTTAAAATTGTTTGGACCAATAAAAAAAATTTGACTACTTTTAGATCTCTTTAATCTGACTTTCTATTTTTTATTATTATTATTATAAGTGTACGTTTTAGGTATCGTTTAAAAAATAAAATTATGCCTTGAAGATAATATGTTGTATATAATGACAATGGCATACGCCATATATATATGCCATACAGCTTAGCCTACTGACATAAGTAGGTAACTATTATTGATGAAAAATAAGCACTCACATGGGGTGTAGTACCACTGGCGTGGCGACAAATTTAGCCCCCCCCCGGCGAAAATGTTTACAGGGCCCCCTGATTCACATATTTTTTACGTTTTTATATTTTAAATAAAAAATAAAACATGAGGTCCATAATATTTTTATTATTTTTATTTATTAAATAAATTATTTATAAACAAAAAGTAACAAACCTTTTTAACAAAAAGCGAAAGAATAATTAACTATATATAATAATTAGAGATGGGATTTTAGTGTTATTACCTATTTGTCTACACTAATCATAACTTGCAATGTGCAATGGAATAAAATCCGTTTTGAAGAAAATTATTTTATTTGAGAAATGAACCTAATTTTTACATTTTACCATGAAAAACATGCTACTAGGGTAATTTTACCTATTTCTACTAAATTCTTATTTTTAATAGAAATGAACCAAATTTTACCATCAAAATAATAATATTGGGGTTGTCCTATTCGGATGACATAATTCTTATGCCCTATGTATACAAAAGTAACTATAGTTATTTTTGTTGTACAGGATAGATAATGTGGGTTGGTTGGGATTGGTTGGTACCAGGGCTGGATTAAGACAATTTGTTGCCCTAGGCTAATAATAAAATGGCGCCTATAATAATTATTATAGGCCATGTTAGTACCTATGATTTTAATATAACACAATACATTTTAGCCGAAAGGGGCGCACAGATAAGGGGAGCAAGTAGAGCACGATATTAACAATTATTACTTACAAAAGTTAAAAATCAACTGGCTAAAAGCCAGTGGTTGTAGTTTTTTATTTTAAAATCCTAGATTATTGATCATGCATGTGCGGTATAGGCGACATCCATCAAAGAATAAAAAATTATTCATATTTCCGATTTTGTTATTAAAATAAAAAAGGGTACTCTCTAAAAATGACTTATTTAATAGATATTAGTGGCTGCTTTTTCACTTGTACCATGGTTAACCATGGAATACCATGGTATCACAAAGTTTAACAGCCAATTCTTATGTAAAATTGTACCCTAAATCCGAAAATTATAAAAGTGGAGCATTTTTTGAGATATAATCAATTACCCCTGTAGCACACAATATTGTATAGATATAGGGCCATTCCACGCGTAACGGATAGGACAGTTGCCGTGTTTTTATTTACAAAATAATATTGTTCTATTATATTACCAATGTCAAATTTTTATAAATAGTTCTAAACTAAAGCTGTTTAACAAGGTTTTTATTTGGCAAAATTAGGTATCGTGGTTGACTGTTTAATTCCTTAAAAACCAGTAATTTAAAGCGTAACGGACGGGACTTTGTAATAGCCCGTTACGCTTTAAATTATTAATTTTTAAGGAATTAAACAGTCAATCACGATACCTAATTTTGCCAAATAAAAACCTTGTTAAACAGCTTTTGTTTAGAACTATTTATAAAAATTTGACATTGGTAATATAATAGAACAATATTATTTTGTAAATAAAAACACGGCAACTGTCCTATCCGTTAAGCGTGGAATGGCCCTATAGGTACTTACAACATGTTACCAATATTAAACATTGGGCCAATATATGTTAGATTCAACCGATATTCTACCTATATGGATTATAGCTGTGTTTTCTATATAGATACCCATTATAGTAAAGATATTGTACTTATACTGGGGCACAATATTGGCTTTTGACATTTATAGCCAATATCGGCGCTACATTATTTTTTCATATTTAATTAAAATTAAAACATTAATGCGCCAATATTGGCTACATAATGTTAATATTTAATCCGGTGAGACAATACTGTTCTTCTACTGAATAATGAACTCATTATTCACGTTGTTAGGCATGAGTGATTGATTTGTTTGAATATTCACTGTGATTTAAACCAATTAGGTTTTAAATTGGGAAAAAGTGAGGTTGGAACATTAAAATCTGGAGCTAGTGAGGTTTGAATAAAGTTTGTTACTAATGAAAATTACTTAATTGGATTAGAAAAAGCATAGTACTACACTAGAGATAAAGCGGATGATTTACGTCTCTCGCCTGGCCGCTCGGGACGCAAACTTCATCCTCGTGAATATGCGTTACCTCTCGTATAATAATATACTATTTAATATTGATATTACTAATTAATTATAAAAAAATAATATAGGCCAATATTGGCTAGAAATGTCAAAAGCCAGGTAGGTAGATATATACCTACATGTGTATGTAGGTAAGTACGTTGGTAAGATGTTATTTTTAATAATATACTTACCTACCTGCCCATTAATAATTGAATATATCTCAAAAACTGTTTTGACGACATTTTTGGATTCAGGGGACAATTTTAGATAAGAATTGGCTGATAAATTTTGGGATACCATGGTATCCCATGGTTAACCATGGTACAAGTCAAAAAGCAGACACTAATAACTATTAAATTAGTCATTTAGGACTAATTCATTGTTAGAGAGTAGGTATTCCATGTTTAATAATTATAATTATTTAATTTAATTGATTAATTTTAATTTAATTTAACCTACTTAAAAAATTAGCCTTCTGCCTGGGCGCCTATTGGCCTTGCGGCGCCCTAGGCCATGGCCTAGGTTGGCCTATTGGTTAATCCAGCACTGGTTGGTACTGGGAATCGCGAACAGCGACGCAAATATGGAATTTCTGCCAGGTATCATGCTTTTGCATGAGATCTCAAGTTTATCCCATCAATCTCATGTTATCATGTATAATTTTTAAAAAATCTCATGTATTTTCACAAATTCTAGCAAATTTGTATTTTTTGAACAGAAAGTTTTTTTTTTTAAACATTTCTAACATAAGCAATGTGAATTTGTTATTTTCAGAAATTGTATGCTTATTAACAAAAACATTTTACATTAAAAAATTATAAAATTTATGATGGTATTATAATATTTTTACAAGATATATTCGTCAGTTATTTTTAAATCATTAAAATCTTCTTCAATACATGTAATTGCAGTTTTATACAATAATAAATTAAATTATTTTACCACCTAAAAGTTGCTCTCCAGTACTTATTTTCTTACCTAGAACAAGAAAAAACTTTACCTACTTAGGTACCTATTTTTACAGATTTGGCAATCTAAAATCCTATCCCTACCTATAATACATAAAATAATAGAAAAATAATAACATATTTTTATAACATGAAAATATAACCTAAAGTATAATAAATAAATCACAGAAATAAATAGCCGTACATATTCATGCATGCACAATATATTTTGAATCTTTTTATAAAAAACAAAACGGCTTAGTGAGCGATCGACCATTTATTTGATTCTGCAGTGGTGTGCTGTGACGAAAACATGTTTTAGCGTATTTTTTTAATGTTACAAGGAATCTTAAAGTGTTTCCATAATTTTTTAAGCGTCGCGTCACGTTATGTCTTGCAGATAATACGATGGAAATAGGTATTTTAATGTTTTGGGGCAAGTATCGGCCGGGCCCCCTACGAGGTTAGGGCCCCCAGCGGTGGTGGGCGCTCGCGGTTCTGTTGCTACGCTACTGGTTAGTACCCACAATGCCCAGCCCTAGTACAATATTACATAATTTATAGAGATTTACCCATAATTTATGCAGATTTAATATTGTACTTTTGTTTCAATTTTTTTCTTTTGCTTTGTCTTTTTTGTTTCGTTTTAAATCCTTGTGTGAAATTCTAACGTTGTTTATTGTATGTATCCAGCAGTGCTGCAGTAAAGAAATATGGCCAATATTGCCCAGGGCAAGAACACAAATTTGCGCCCCCTTCAATAAAACCATAGATTTAATGTATGAAAAAAAACTAAACAAATATTAACATTAAATTGACACCCACACATGCTGCATTTTTAAGTATTCTCCAAACACAACATCCATACTCAGTGAGAAAACATCAATATTTAACAGAAATGCTATGACATAATCTAATTTTGAATTTTAACTGTCAATCAATGTTATTTAATACAATTGTTTTGAAATTAACTAAAATCAAATGGCATTAGTCAAAACAATATTTTATTAAAATATATAACTATATAGTTATATATCTTCAATAAATTGTTGTTTATTTTTATTACAAAATTGTTAAATTATTTTTAACAAATTGTTCTTGGTCGTATTTTTTAAACAAGTTATACCAGAAAATTCTACAATTGTAGTACTTTCCACAACATTTTTTTTCCGTGTAATAAGATTAAACATGAATTCCCATTATAATAAAACCATTGTTTGGACATTCTGTATATTAGACCTAATCTATATAATACTTAAACGAATATAATTAAGATAAACCTATTATTCTTAAGTTTAAAAAATCCATGTTTAAGATCTCATATCTTTTTAAATAATAAATGTATGTAGATCTACACCTTCAAGGTGCCAGACTTTTGGGACACCCTGTATATAATATATTTTATGTATTAATTAAGTACAAAATTTTAAAAAAATATTTTTTTAAATTGATACCTATATTTTTTATCAAAATCTAAAATCATGCATTACACCGATTGGACGTTTTCATATGGAATGTAGATTTTCTTTTAATTTTATGTGCAAATTAAAGCATAACTTTTCAAATTACAACGATAAAAATAAATCGTTTACCAAGAAACATGTT